CCCCCACCCCGCCCTGCCCCGCCGCGGCACCCGTACACGTTGCTGACCCAGCAAGCGCCACTGACCCCCTGCCCCGCTGAGCCGCTGCTCTGGTGTCTGTGCCCCCCCCCCCTCGTTAAACGGTGGGCAGAGGGCGACCCTGTAACTCCCCGCAGCCCCTCACGCGCAAAGAGAAGCTCCAGCTCTAGCTCGTCATCGCCAGCGCCGCCGTCGTCGCCATCCATCTCCTCAGTTGGCCGAATATGGACCTGAGGTGGTGGGTCCCGGGCGTTGGAGGCGGCGGGATGGGTCGTGATGTGCGTGCAGGTGAGATAGACCGAGCCAAGAGCCGAGGCGCGCCGCCAGGCCGCCAGGCCGCGGGCGCCGGCCAGCGCCCCGCCCTGGGGGCAGCGGAGGCGGCCACCAGCTGGCGCTGCGGCTGCGACCGCCCTTCATGGGCAGGTTCGTCATCAGGCCTAGTCCCATCCGCTACCTCTGTGCCGGCACCCGCCTCGGCAACGCTATGAATTATTTTGATTCCATGACCTCCTGCTGCCTGTATGACTCCACGACGCTGAGCACGCGGCAACCCCCCAAGCTGCTCCCCCACCCACCATGCTGCACCCCAGCCCCAAACGTCCCCTTTCCCACACGACGGCCATCGCGCCGAAACCCTGGCGCTGCCGCCGCCACCGCTGCGGGCTGTGCCACGCTCCGCACCTTGTACGTCTGCCCGTGGGTTGTCCAGCCTGGCGGCAGCATGCCCTCGTACTCTGACAGGTCATCCATTAGGATGGCCTCGAGCGCCTCCAGCTCCATCTCCTGCTCCCCTGCATAGTCTGTCATGGCGGCGGCGCCGCTGCTGAATTGGATGTCTCAAGGGCCCGCCAGCCACGCAGTTGGGAGCTGAGGGGAAAGTGGGGACCTGTGGCACAGCGGCAGCATCAGTGCAGCAACACAGCGGCGAGTGAGCGAAGCGGCGGCGGCCGCGCGTGCTGGGCTGTAGCGTCATAGGCTGAAAGAGCATTGAAAGCTCATTGCTGTATCGAGCGACCTAGCATTGCACGAAACGCTTCACACACCCGAGTGCAAACGGTGATCTACACTGTCAGCGAGGATCCACTAAGAGTGTGTGTGATGTCGTCTCTTAAGCAGGACTTTGACAAAATTACCTCAATACTGTATCTGCAAAGCCGTGCTTGGGATCCCGTTCAAGCTGCACCCGCTGCACCATCGGCGGCAGTGTTTCAGTCGTGTCACCAGTTCCAGCGGTCACCAGTCCCTCAATGGTTCTGCTCAATCACGCCGCACGCAGGTCCGGCGCAATATCATAAGCTGCGGTTTGAGTTTCTTTTGCTCATAATCACTGCTCACCCCTCCGCGACGCCGCTGCACGCACTGCAGCGACCATCGATGCTAGGGCGGCGGATGGCGGCGCCGCAACCGCGACCGGTGGCGTCAAGGAGGCCTCGCCCGTGGAGAGCGTCTGAGGGCAGTCCGCGTGCTGGCCGCGTGAGCCTTACTGCAAAACTTGGGAAGCGGTTTGCCCGCGTGAAGACCAACTCGCCAAGCCTGGCGCTTCCTTGCTTCATGGCAATGAATGTCACATGGTGTGATGCTAGTGAGCCGCCTGGCCCACCAGCAGTGCCGACGGCGTCGCGATTGGCTGACTGCAGACGCGTACACACAACAGTACAACTGTGCAAACGCTGCCAAAAAAATGAACTAGGACCTCTGACAGACGGGGGGTCTCATACAGCTGTGTAAGGACTGCGGGGCAAGGCGACTTGGAGGGCACTTTTGGCTGGCTGATGGCTTGTGTTGCAGGAGGTTTGAGCTTGCTATAACCCATCAGTTTGCCCTCACAACTTGCAATCGCGCGAGCCTCTTTTTGTCACCTTTGACACGCTACCACCGGCACACGTCTGCATCCACCATCCATGACTTTGCTTGCTTGCACCCTGCCTGAGAACCACGCTTTGCCTGGTGTTCTCGTTGCAGCCTGTTCCCCTTTGTCTTCATGTCCCTTTGAGCCCCTAGAAACAAGAGCTCAAGCAGTCCTGGATGTGGTAATTTTCTGCTGCGGCTTCCTACACACAAAAATGCCAAGTATTGCCATGCAAAGGGGGCGCGCGCGCCTCCGAACAGCTGCGGAAAGCATAATCACAGCATGCCCACCGCTGCACCACCCCCCACACAACATTCCTCACAAAGTACATGTAAAATATGTATCATGTCCCGCCACCAGACCATCAGTGTATGACACCCGTATTCATACCTCCCTTGGGCAGTCGTTCGCTCGCATGGGTTGTCATTATGGTCTGGTCAATTGAGTCAAGCAGGGGTTGACCAAAAAAGGCTCGCATCATCCCCACGTGCTGCACCTCCCAACCATACACTATATACCGACAATATCCCAAGTGTGGGTTTCTGTTAGTCGGGTGATGATTTACCGTACGCAGGCTGGCTTCTTTTGTGCCTGCCGCTCGAGCTGCCGCACCCCGCTTCGGGCCATTCGTGTGCGCAGTGGCCTGCCTCGTCTAGTAGTATCCATGAATGATTCCGATCACTCACACATCCACTGAGCTGAGAGCCTGAGGTTGGGGCCTGGGAATCATGAAACAGGGCCGCCATCGTCAGGTGACACCAGCCCCCCCCAAGATGTCACCAGTCCCAACGGCGCGAAAAAGGCGCGCCTCTCGGGGAATGCTGGACAAAACGAGGAGGAGTGTAGTGACCTGAAAAACTCCTGCACTGCTGCAAAGTTGTGCCTGGTGTGTTCATGTGCGTGTGTATGTCCGTGCGTATGCATGTCCGTGCGTGTGCATGTCCGTGCGTGCGTGCGTATGTGTGTGTGTGGGGGGGGGGCGGGTGCACACGCGCTGACCCGCATGCACGTGCTTGGATATAGCACGTGCTCGCTCGCTCCATGCAATCCCCCCTTCACACTGCCCCCGAGGCTCCACCCGGGCAAGCGAGGTTTACACCAGATTCGTCCTCCTCGTTAGTTTTTCCGCAGCCGCATCTCCGCGACCACGTCGCATTTGCAGCTCGTCACATGTGCGTACGCCCGCCGCAGCACCGCGCCCGCGCCAGCGCCACCGGCCAGCGCCTCCCACGCCGCCGCGCCGGCGGGCGCCCCCTCCCACGGCCGGAACGCCACCTGCAGCGCCGCCGCCGGCCGCTCGGCCCCGGCAAGGCCGGTGAGGGACGACAGCGGCGCGGCGCCGCCAGACGCGCAGAGGAAGCGCGCGCCGGGGGCACGGGCGGCCGCGGCCGCGCCGGCGGCGCGCAGGACCTGGGCGTTGACCTGCGGATGCCAAGCGTGTTTGGTTTGCAGGGGGCGCAGTGTGTCCGGGGCTCAAAAGAATGGAAGGGCAAACGGGTCAGTAATGGTGCTTTGTGTGTTGCAATTTCCACAGTCGAGAAATCGCTCCGCAGAAGTCCGTTCCGCAGCTGCCTGACAGGCGCCACAGCCCTCTGCCGCACGGCTCGTGCGACGCGCGACCTGCACCCCCGGCCTGCCTGGCACTGCTACACTCCAAGCCCCCCCCCCCAAAAAATCGCCCGCAGCCCACCAGGTCGGCGACCACGCCATGCAAGGGCACCCCCTCAGCCGAGAACTCCACCAACCCTGAATCATCCTCGCCCCGCGAGGTCGTATCACTCTCCTTGCCAGCACCTCCTGCCACATGCGTGCCCGCGCCGGCGACACCAACGGCCCGCTCCGTGCGCGCGCCCATGGCTTCGCCGCTGCCGCCGCCGTTTGGCGGCAGCAGGTGCAGGCGCGGGTGAGCCTCCAGCAGCCGCCTAAACTCTCGGGCGGCCGCAAAGGCGCCTGCCTCGCCGGATGGTGCGGCTCCCGCGTCCACGCACGCGCGTGCATCCGGATCGCAGCAGGCGCAGCGGCCCCAGACGCAGCCGCCAAGCAGCGAACAGCGGAGCGCTTCAAGAGCCGACACGCCGCCCCGTTCTCCCTCATGCTGCTGCTCCTGCTCCTGCCGCGGCAGCTGCTGCTGCTGCTGCTGCTGCTCCTGCTGCCGCGGCTGCTGATGATGATCATGGTGATGATGGTCATGGTCATCGTGATGCTGGTGGTGGTGGTGGTGGTGGTGGGTATCGCTGTGCCCGTTCGCGGCATTCGCACCCGGCAACGCCGGCATCGTCGCCGCCGCCGCCGCCGCGTCAGACTGCCCGATCAACACCAGCCGCGTCGCCGGCGGCCCCTGCCACGGCCCCTCAGCGCGGCACTCCGCACGCGCGCGCCCCGAGAGGTGGAAGACGTAGCGCGCGCGGCGGCGCTGACTCAGCCAGACGACGCCCTTGGCGCGGAGCAGGCCTGGCGGGGGGGCAGGTGGTGGGGCGCATGACGCAGAGTGGCGGCTTGTCAAGGGATGCAGTGATTGTGAGATGAGAGAAAAAAAAGCGCAGGACAAGCCGAGTCGTGAGAGGTGGCCCTGCGCAGCCCTGTCCTGTGGGGAGGCGGGAGCGGGCGCCACGGGGGCCCCTGCCACGCAGGCTTCAGGCACACCAGACCCTGGCCACTGGCGTGCCGCAGAGCCCCAGCGAGGCGCGCCGCCGCTTCAATGAGGAATGCGCGAATAAAGCCACACAGGCTCGCCCCGGGCCGTCCCTTGGCCCCCGCTGATGTTGCGGCGCCCCGCACCCGGCGTGCGCAGCAGCCGCTCGGCCACCCAGGCTTGGAAGCACGCCATGCAGAGCGGCGCCTCCTCCAGCACCACCGACACGCTCTCAAACGCCACCGCGTGCGCCGGCGCGGCGCCTCGCTGCCTATCGGCGTGGTCAGAGCTGCCGTTGCCGCCGTTGCCGGCCCGCTCGCCCTGCTGCTGCCGCAGCAGCCGCGGCCGCGGCCGCGCGCCGGCGCCCGTGCGGGGCGTCGGCCGAGCGACCAGCCCCTCGTGCGACAGGAACCCCTCCCCGCCCCCGCCAACTGTGGCATCGTCGCCTGCGCCCCCGCCCGGCGCCGCCGCCTCCGGCGCCGCCATGCCGCCGTCCACCGCCCCCGCCGCCGCGCCAGGCGCGGCGCCGCCGCACGGCGCGTCGGCAGCGCCGAGGGCCGTTTCTGGGGGCACCTGGCCAAAGCGGCAGCGCATGAGCCGCGCGGAGGGGTTGATGCGGCGGAGCGCGTCCTCAAGATCTGAGATCTGCCCCAGGGTGGCCAGATCGACCTGTTGTGTCGAGGCAGGGTTTTGGGGCGCAGGGGCAGGCCGGAGTTGGGAGGGAGTGGGGATGGGCCGGCTCCCGCCGCATGGGTCGAGCGAGTGTTATGGGAAACAGCGAGGCAGGGTCTGACGCGAGTGTGCAGTCGTGACTGCAGCTTGCGAGATCGTGAGCCAATGGGGAATGGGAAGGAGGAAACCCCCTCGTCGAAGAATGGCCTATTCAATGCAAAACACCACGTATACCTCACTTCCGTGTCTGATGGTTTCCGTACACAGCAGTCGCCGCAAGGCAGGGGTCGCTGCATCCAGCCCGATCAAGGTGCCAGCGTTGGGCCCGCCCACTCACCTTGTTGATGACTACGAGGTCTGCCGCCCGCAGCTGCGAGGCATGGGGTTGACAGGGCGTCGCGCGGTCAAGTGGTGAATCCAGATGTCGCCCGGAGGATACATCAACCCTAAAACCTCAACCCTGGTGAGGGACCGGACACAATGAGGACATGCGTCAGCACCGCCCCCGCGCCGCGTACGGCCGGCTCAGTGCAGCTCTCCGCAGCACGTCCCTGCCCCGGCCCACGCCGCCCCGCTTGACCACGCGGCCGCGCCCTGGCTGCGCTGCCACCGCGCCGCACCTGGGCCAGCGCCACGCCGCCCACCCCGCCTCCTCCTCCTCCGCCGCCGGGTGCCTCTTCAGCTTCCGCCGCCCGCAGCATCTCGGCCCCCGCCTCTGCGTCCACCACGCACATGACCGAGTCCAGCAGGAACCCGCCCCCGGCCAGGGCGGAAGCCAGCGCCCCCGCGTCGGCGGCGCCAGAGGTCTCCACCAGCTGTGTGGGTTGGATCGGATATCGGGGTTGGAAACCGGGGGTGGATTGGGTTGAAAATCGGGGTTGGAAATCGGGGTGTGGGAGGGGCGTCGCTCACGCGCGCTGTTGCGCAGTGACGTGCTGTGCTGTGCTGCGTGATGCTGGGGTGTGTTGATATGTGCTCTGCTGTCGTGGGCAGGGCGAGCACACCCGCAGGTGACGGCTGCCTCTGTCAGGGGCACAGTGACGTCTGCAGTCGGCTGCGCGTGGCACTTGGCTGGGCGCCTGGTGTGCTGGTGCAGCCCCTGAGACCCCGCGACACTGACATAAGGCGGCAGCGAGTCCAGGCGGCCAGCGGCAGCAACGAGCAGCGCCGACAGTCCTGTCGACACGCAGCCCCAAGGGGCAACAACGCCCCTGTCAGAGCGCAGCGCGTTCACGCTGGCAACAGCAAACTGCAAAAGACGATGTAAATGAATGTTCATTCATGACACAAAACTGCTGTACAGCACAACGGCGCACGGAATTCTGCAAAGCTACCATGAAGGTGAGAAACAACGCCCAGCAAGAGACATGAGCTCACCAGCAGGTCGAGCTCCTGGTAGGCGCGGCCGCCCACCAGCGCCGCCAGCGCGTCGCCGAACGCCCCAGACACGGCGCAGCACGCGCAGCCGCCCGACAGGTCCGCGGGCCGCACGCCCACCGCTGCGTTGCGCTGGCGCGGCGGGGCGCGGCGCGGCGCATGAGGCGGCATGTAGCGGTTGAGGCGGCAGGGGTAAGGGGGCAGCGGCGCATCGGCCAAGGGGCAGGCGGGTGGGGGCGGCGGTCGAGCCAAGCCACGCGCGCGTCCCCTCCGCGGCGCATCGGCGAGACCCTTAGTTACCATAGGGCAGCGTTTTTCAGGTGCTGCTACTGCCGCCGCCCGCCTCCCCACTCTCGGCCCCAACTCCCCTTCCCCATGCGCCGAAAACACAATCAGTCTCACCTGCCGCGCGTTGAGCAGGGCGCTGTCGACGTCCACGTGCCCAGCCTCGTTCACCAGCACGCCGATGCGCAGGCCGCCCCTGATGAGCGCACGCGCAGCCGGGTGCGTTAGTTGCGCCGGATATCGCCACTCGTCGGGCCAACCAGCAGCATAGAAAAGGCATGCTTCGGGACAATGGGCGCACGGTCCCTGGATTCTTCACGCGCAGCTGCGTGCTGCCGCTCTCACTGCGACCCACTGCCACCCACCAAACACATACATACGCACACACATCCCCTGACCACCTTGTCCACCCCTCTCAAGTTCCAAAGCGGTGCCGAGGGCGTGCTCACCCCGCATCCAGCAAATGCTGCACCAGGGTGGTTTTACCTGACCCCAGGAATCCCGTCACAACCACCGCTGGTACAGCTGCGGGGCGCGGCGCGCGGGGCCGGGAAAGTATGCGATGCGCGATTTGCGAATGCTGGATGCGCCTGAGGTCTGATGCTGCAGAGTGCGCCGCTGCCATGCGAGCGTGGCCAGGGCAGTGGTTTGGCTGTTGGAGCAACTTGAAATGCGTGCTGACTTGGCTCAACAAGTTGCATGCTGTGTTGGCGGGCCGTGCGTTGATCCTAGGTGCTCGGCCCGTCCCTGGTGCTGTGGTGACGCCAGGTCGCCCGCACCTCGTGCGCCTGCGGACGCCCACTGCGGCAGCAGCAGGTGCTGCTCATATCTAGAAGTAAGCGCTGTTGTGGCTGCTTCCCCCAACTCAAGCCCCGTCGCCGTGCCCATTGTCTCACTGCAGACTGCTGTGTGCTCTGCGACAGCAGATCGACTACCGTACTTCGTGTTTTCGATGCGCGCGCTTTTGTACTGATCTGGCATTGATGTCGATCGTGTACTCACAACATCGTTGACGTGTGATGAGCCAGATCAGCTGTGGAAGCTCTTTGAGTTCACACAATGGCCACGCTCGCCTCATGGGAACTGGACACTAAGCGTTATTTAGGCTTGCTAGAGAAGTTGATTGGTCAGTATCGGTCGTTGACGGGCTGCGAGTACCGGCGTCGCCGAAGAGCGGCCAGCGGCCAGCCAGAGCCTGCAAACGCGTTTGGGTCTCGCCGCTGCACGCCAACCCGTGCTTCCGACGCATCGAGCGCAGGGGAGAGCAAATGGCTGCAGAACAACCCTCCAGACCTGGTGCCTACAGAGGACAGGGGTAAGTGTAACCCCTTGCTCTGGAGTGCGGGGGCCAAGCACCGAGCGAAGCCACCGCAGCGGGTCCATGAAGACAGCAGCGGCGGTCCTGATGGCACCTGCGCAGCCAGAGGAGGTGCAAGCCAACCTTGTTGCACAATGACAAGTATCGGCCTGCCTATGTTTATGTGTGTCAGACCGGTCCCTTTGCAGCCGCTGCTGCGTGCCTGGCGCGCCGACGCAACCCCCTCCGGCTCCCCCACCCACGCCGCGCGCAGCTGCGCGGCACGTGATTGAGCACCTGGCGCCCGTTTCGGAAGACAACGGCGGCCCCCTACGCGTGACCCAGGCGCGCCCCCTGCCCTCCTTTGCCCGCCACGCTTGCGCGCCCTACCCCTGCGCATGGATCCTGTCCACATCAATCCCCCCCTCTCCAGCCACCCCTCCAAGCCTTCCCATCTGCAATGACGCCATGGCTGCCATCGCCCCGCGCCCCCGAAGGTGGCGTTTGTGGAGGGCCGCAGCAACGTGATGGTGGAGTATCCTGGCACCACAGACGCCGTGGTGTCGCTCGTGGGCTGCCATCTGGTGGGTGTGCTGACCTGGCGGCGTGTCGGGCGCCAAGGGGGTTGCGTCTGCCCACGCAATGTTCGCCCTTTGTACCACGCGGAAGCATGCCGAGGCGGATGGGGGTGGAACTCACCACCCATCACTGTTCCTCGCCTCGCCCTGCGGCACCCTTTTCTCTTCCTCAACGCGCGCACACACACATGCGCACGTGCGCACACACACACACGTGCTCGCGCACACAAATGCACACATGCACACATACTATGTACCCCTCAGCCTCTCACTCTTGCGCATCCGCAACCGCCCCCCCCCTTCTAGGACGTTGTGACTGCCAACCCTGACACCTGGTCCTTTGACCCCTTCAAGCTCACCGTGGAGGGCGACAAGCTGCTGGTGGGTGGGTGTATCTGTGTGGGGGC